ACCCCCCCCCCACACCAAAAAAAAGCAAAACAAATAACCAACAACAAAAAACCCCAACAACAATAACAACCTAACACAACAGCAACAACAACAAAAACACAATCAATCATCATCGTTGTTCTTAACATGCTTAGGGACAGGGGAAGATGTTTCTTCAGTGAGAGGTTGTGACTGACTAAGAAACGAGTAAAGCCCCATGAGTCACTGGCCAAGTAGTTATAACATTGTGAGGAACCTTCGTTCTCCGGGAATCAGACTTAAGTAACACATCTCAGCAGAAAAAAAGGACCTCTCTGTCTCTGGTGTCATAGTTAGGATCCCCGACGCTGCACGCCGAAGACGTGAGTTCCATTCTTGTGTGGGGAAATTATATTCTGGAGTAACTGATGCGGCCAGACAGTCTGTCGCCCACCGCAATACAATTCTCGTTTACAAACGCATAAAAAACTACGCTCAGTTTATACCAATACCAATAATATCAACTTCAGAACCAGTGTTGGCGCTCATATGACCTTATGCAGTTGCGAGCGCCGTAAAAACTCTACTAAAACAAGAAACCAGAGTGTCAAATTTATCACAATGACCAGTGATTGACTCTTTTTTCTTGCTGTCATTTCAAGAACATAGAAAAAAGTAATGTTACCACGTTTGCGTCACACCTTTTATAGACAGTGGTTGCCACTGCAGTTTGGTAGTTTTCCCCTGGCTTGATCAGATCATGTAACTGAACCAGCAAACCAGTCCTGGGGGCTCTCGTGGCCTACAGGTTAAGGTGTTGGCCTCTCATTAAACGGTCCTGGGTTCGAATCCGAGTAGCGACCGAATAATTTTCTTCTCCAGAATTGTCTCCTTTCACCTCCTCTAGCAATGTTCTGTCGTCTGCTTTCGTCTCCTCCTTCTGCCCCCACCCCCTCACCTCCTTTGCTCCCTCTTCTGGGCTCCTGACTCTTTCTGCAGCAGTTCTACTGCTACTCCTTGGCTCCTTCTTACTGCTGATCTTCTGGAAGGAAAGATCTATACCTAGCCTTCTCGGACAAGGGCAAAAAGTCTCGGAGGGCCCGTGTGCAGGTTGCGCACGTTTTAGATCTCTTGGTGGTCTAAAATCGATAAGAGTAGGCTTCGGCGGCCACTCGGGCAAAATTCAAAATTGTCTACCTACTGAAAAAGTTTAATTTGTCCCGCGCGCTCATATGATCTTATTCAGTTGCGAGCGCCGTAAAACACTTACGGAAAAAGTTTTTAAAAAACACCCAAAAACCAGTCCTGCGATCGTAGGCCAAAGTTTGTCCTTTTTGACTACGCGTGCATTACCCTATGATTGAGAAAGGGGATTCCCCCATGACTCACGGTCACCGTAAATTATACAGCGTGAGGCATCGGGGGAACTTTCTTCCGGAATCTGAGCAAGCCCAGAAACGGAGGGACAATAATAGGCTTGTCGTAAAAAAATAAGGAAACAGAGAGAGCGAATTGTAGTCGAGTACTTCTTGTAGCTGATATATTCGCTCCGATCCCCACGCGTCAAGTCAAAAACCTCGGGAACCTCACACACACACACACACAAACCATCCACATCACAGCGCGCTGTCGTTCTGTCTCGTGGACGGCTACTTCCCGCGACTACGATAGTTTAGCCACACACAGACAGATTCGAATCGTGCACGCTTGGGCCTTTGGTTCTATAATAATAATAATAATAATAATACTATCATCGTCATTATTATCACCGCGCTCGTCATGTAATTCTGATACAATCTCCTGAATGCAGTCATTGGTGGTGCGTACGGATGGATGTAGTAGGCTAGTTCTGTGAGTGAGGAAGAAAGGAATCGTTGCGTTGGTTGTGATCTTGATCTAGGCTGGCTTATATTTGTGTTGAATGATGATTCTTCTGAAGGATGTGGTATTGCGTGGAAGGATTCTGTGCGGAGTGGACAGGACTATGACGTGATCTGAGACAAAAGGGCAGGCAGTTGTTGGTGTTTTGGGACATCGGCGGCTTTTTGGAACGTGAGGTGAGTTGAGTTGAGGTGAGGTGAAGTGAGATGAGGAGGAGGAGGAGGTTTTTTTAGTTGCTGTCGTAGGTGGAGAATGTGTATGTTGTTGTTGTTATTGTTGTTGTTGTTGTTGTTGTAGGTGGAGATTTTGTATGTTGTTTTTGTTGTTATTGTAGTTGTTGCTGTTGTTGATAATGGATGACTGGCAGTTTTTGTCTGACTGGTGATACGACGAAAAAGGGGTGGGGAAGTGTTGTGATGATGATAGATAGATATATAGACAGGCTGATGGACATATAGATTAATAAGGATGATAGACTAATCGATGGATATATCTGAAAATAGATAGGTGGACAGGTAAATCGATAGACAAAGATATTCAGCAACGTAAATTGACAAATGGATACAAAAAATAAGATACGATTAATTCGTTATTTAGCGTAAATAATTCCTTTTGGTTAGTTACACTCCTTGATAGACTGATATACTATTTTATGTATCTTAAAGAGAGAGAGAGAGAGAGAGAGAGAGAGAGAGAGAGAGAGAGAGAGAGAGAGAGAGAGAAAGAGGGCGAGAGAGAGAAAGAGAGAGAGAGAGAGAGAAAGAGAGAGAAAGAGAGAGAGAGAGAGAGAGAGAGAGACAGAGAGAGAGAGAGAGAGAGAGACAGAGATATTCATGATGTAACGAACGTTAAAGCAGTCAGTAATAAGGGGGGGAAAAAGCTATGATGAGCGAACTAGAATACACACAAAGAGTAGCGAAGAAGAGACGACGACGACGATGAAGAAAAAGAAGAAGGAAAAAAAATTGCAGGAAACAAAACAAATGCCAAAATGTCAATAATATATCATGATGTCTCGGCTGGCTTTGTCCAGATTAAAGTGTAGGAAACCCACAAACTCCACAGGTTGCTTTGAACACAATGTCTAAGGTATCATTTCAATCAATCACATTCCATGTATTTCTATTAAAGCCATAGGAGAAAAATAATATAATTCCCCCAGAGGCCTGACCCAAATATTATAGCCAACTGTTAATATATGAAAGGAAAAACAAAACAAACCCGCCCCCATCAAATCCATGGAATTTGTAATGGTCGTTTAAGGCATAATCACTAAAGACAGTGAAAATAAAATAGAAGCAACAGAAATGTGGTTTCTTAGGAGACTGCTAAGAGTATCGTGGAAAGAAAAGAAATCAAATGAGGTAGTGCTTGATGAAGCCCACATGGGACGCTCAATGTTAAAAACAATCAGGAAACGACAAGTGCAGTATTTGGAACACATAAATAGACATATGGGTGAATCTAGCTCTCACTGGCAAAACTGAGGGCAAGCGAGGCAGGGGAAGGCCCAGAACGACATACTTAGAGAACCTAAACAAATGGGTAACAGGGAAAAATCAGGGAAACGTAGCTATTTTGAAACCACCCGAGCAAAGGAATGAATGGAGAACCATTCGCCAATGTCTGTGGCAGATCTGGCACTGGAGGATGATTATGAAGGCACAAACCCTTCTATAACATAATATTGTAGCTTGGACAGTTTGGTCAACGGTTAACTCATGAAAGTCATGATCCTATTCTCTGCTTTGTTGCATGCAGCAAGTCTAGTTTAAAATATGATGTAAACGCCTGCATTTACAGCGCAAAACGATAGGTTTCAAGCTGCAAGCATGCATTATTATAATGTATATATACCCACTAACATTTTCAGAAAAAGGAAGATACGGTATATGAGGGTAATCTAGCAGCACAGACAAGCACATACTGTTTCAGATTGACAAGGAAAAGAAGGGGAAAAAACCCCAGCCCAATAATGCAGCAACTCCCTAGCGGACGTGCCCCTTCCAAAGAGTTAAATTATTACATCAAAGATCTAGGTACTGGTAAACTAATCAGTAACAGGTGCATGCCTAAATGTTTTTCATTAGATATCTTATTGCAAAAATGGATATGCGCTTTATAAATGAAATCCATATATAGTATTATTATTATTATTATTATTATTATTATTGTTATTATTATTATCCTTATTAGTAGTAGTAGTAGTAGTAGTAGTAGTAGTAGTAGTAGTAGTATAGCCATGTCTCACTCAGTACACCAGAAAAGTCGTCTTTCTCTTTATTCCAGCCCTGTATAGTCAGCCCCAGCTCACCGAAGCATCTCGGCAGATATACCAGAAACCCTTCTCTCATTAATCTTTGACATTCCCCTCCATCAGGCACGCAGTAAACGCAGCATTGCTCTTTCTATAGGCATAATATCGATCCTTTTCGCATCCATTTCAACCAGAAGCCTTCGATGTCTGGGGGGAAAACAGCCCTTCATACCAAAGTGGCAAGTCGGATCAACCACGCATCTATGTAGAGAAATCAATGGCTTTATTTAGATAGATTTAGATCGAGATATTTTTTTTTAGTTTCTGACCATGATGGGCTAAGCTCCAGAAGTACTTCTCTTTTCTCTTTTTAGTTTAGTTTTTTTTTTTTTTTGAAAGAGTTTTAAGGCACTCGCAAAACTCAGTTAGGTTACACAAGTACCTAAAGATTTAGAGGTGTTACTTTACTTTACTTTACTTCTCTTTTCCGATCCAGCGGCCATATATGGGTTCTAGCCCTTCGGTCTGTCGATATGGCAAAGAATTTGCAGGTTTTAATCAGCTGTGCTTTGTTGCTGTATAGAGTTTTTCCGATAAGAGGTGATAGAGGTGTTACCCGAGAATAGCTTGTAAAGACTAGAAGGAGGAGAGATAAGAACGATATTATAATAATATGTTTTAAAAGAAAAAAAGGAGCAAACCACACAGGGCACCCGCCAACCACCCAGTTATACCTCCCCTTTTCCGTCTGTTTTAAGGTTCAAGTGTGAGAAACTATATGAGGTTGAGACATCTTTCAACGGTAGTTTTCAGAATTTTAACGGTCTTTAAACATGACCATGTCATCATGACAAGCTTGTGATTATTCGTGTTTGATAACTGGCTACTTGTGTAAGACACAGTTGTACGTAGATTTGTCATTTTAGTAGCCTTTATTTTTTTATTGAGCGGTTTTGGCTTTCAGTCCGGCGCAAAAAACAATACTATGCTTCCAAAACCTTGTCGCAAACTGAGAATTATCAGAGACTGGTATTATCTTGTACTAACTGATCTCTCTCTCTCTCTCTCTCTCTC